GGCCATTCAACCGATGCAATACTAGTAGCTTTAAAATAATTATCTAAATTTCAATTGATCAACACAGAAATGTGTTCATAGAATAACTGTGAGTACAAACAGCATGAAACATACCTGTATGTGTTGTATATGTGTTATATGTGTGTGAGCATGCATATGTGTGTGAGCACACTCATGTCTCCCTAAGAAAGCCTGGAAGGGTATATGAGAGCTGTCCTGAAAGTATCCAGCCATATCCTATGAAAAGCAGAGACAGTTACTGAAGAAGATACAAGTTACAAGAAAGATTGTACACAGAACAATGGTGTCTTAGTCCCCTTCAAAGTAGGCTCCTTGGGACCTCACACAGTTCTCCCAGTGTCTCTTAATCTAACCCCTACATGTTCAACATTCTCAGGTGTTCTGCCTGTTTGCAGGCCTTCTGGAACACGGATCACTTTCAACAGATCCTCGACCATTTTTGAAGCATTTGTGCCACACTATTATTTGCACTGCACTCACTGAATTGTCCCTGAAAGCCTTCTGAATCATCTGAATAGTTTCCGTGGAGGAATGTTCAAGCTTAACGTAAAATTTGGTGCAGATTCATTGTTCTATTTGCTTAGTCATTTTGAGTGGGACAGCCAGACGGTACGCATGCTCAATCAACGGCGTCCAGCGCCCCACTGACTAGTACAGCGAAGTCGTCGTTGTTCGTGCAGGTGCATTCCAATCCACTCTACTTGGCTGCCACGTTACATCGATGTCGCACAAACTGTTCAGGTTTTATCAGTGATGGCTGGATAGTTTCTGGACGGCCCTCGTAGACTAATGTAAAAATACTAATAAGGTTTTTTTCTGGGTGAGATCTGTAAGTTATCTTTACTGCTTTATTGTTTTCCATATTGTAAAATCATCTATAAGGACCATACATTAATAGTTTGTTTTTGGACCTCAGGTGTAGAGAATTGAGGATTAACTTTTTGGTTCATAGTATACTACCATCATCAGTTTATATAAGGTCTCTCTCTTGTTTTAATAAATTTTGCTTTCTTTTCACCTGTCTTAAATATACATGAATTACTTTTAAAATCTTGTCCAAGGAGAGTAATCAAGGGTCTTCACCAGCAAGTCTGTAAGAACAGCAAGAATGTCAGGTTCCAGGCCATGCCGCTGACCTGGAATGAACTGCAAATCGTTCACCTTCTCATCTGGTGTGAGGGGCAGGGATAGGAGTATTACTTTGTTTGTCTGTCCTTGGAATATGCGGGTTATACCTCCCAGCAAGATTCCAACTACTGAACTTTTAGGCTTAGGATAGTGCATCACCGAGAATAGTCTCTACCAGATGTGGAGCCAATCAAAAAGAAAACACCATCTTGGCTGGGATCTGTGTGTTAGCTTCCTTTAATGCCATAACAAAGTACCACACGCTAGGTGGCTTAAGCAATATAAATGTACTGTCTCACAATTCTGGAGTTAGAAGTCCAAAATCAAGGTGTTGGCAGGGTTGGTTCCCTCTGATGGCTGTGAGAGAGGATCTGTTCCATGCCTTGTTGCTAGCTTCTGGTAGTCTCAGTTGTTCACTGATTTGCAGATGGTGGTCTTCTGCCCATGTCTTCAGTCTTTGCCACGTACATGTCTGACTCTGTGTCCACATTTCCCCTTTTAATAAGGATGCCAGTCATTTTGGATTAGGGTTCATCCTAGAGACCTCATTTGAATTTGATTACCTCTGTAAAGACCCTACCTCCAAACAATCTTGCATCAAGATGGTACGGTGGAAAGAACATGGTTTCATAATCATACCTGGGTTTGAATCATGGCTTCACCACTTAACTGGTGGTCTGACTTTGGGAAAGTCATTTAATTACTCAAGACTTGTTTTCTCATCCATATAATGGGGATGTAACGTTGCTGTGAGCATTAGAAATACTCTAGAATGTGCTGGATAAGTGAAGGTCATTATTACCTATGAGTTGGGGGTCTTTGCTTTTCAGGTTAACTTTTATGACTAGATGCATCTGTAAGTGAATCAGACAGGGGAGATTCTCAGATGACAGCAAGTATTTAATATCCAAACTTGATCAACACTAAACTGGCATCTGTTCTAGAGTTCTTCTTGCCTACATGTGTTCACTTGTTTGGAGCCGGCCACAATTTACAGGTTACTTTTTAGGTGAAGTCGATATAAAACCATTTTACAGCATTCCAGGCTGTACGTGATGGTTCACTGATCAATGCTGTAAGGCTGTCTCATTGGGAGGAAAAAGAAGGGTGCAGCCTTCTCTATATGAAGACCAGTAATGCCTTCTATTCCTGCATGTCTATAATCTGAAGATTCTGCCTCACCCCGATAAACCAGATTGATTTGACTGAAGACAAGGACATATTTCTTGAGATATTGTCATATTCTGCTCAGGTTACCTAGAAGATTAATCATGCAAGTTCCCTCTATTACTAGCAATAAAAATTTGACTCAAATTTAGCAGTAAAGGTTGCAAATGCTTAACTGTTCTGATAGAAGTGAAACCCTGGGTTGCGGTGGGAGCAGGGAGAGCTGCAAAAGCAGGAAGGAGTTGGTTGTATAGGTGGAAGTCTGAGCTTGGGAGGAACCAGGTAGTGACCTCTCTTCTGAATAGGGACACTCTTGGGCACTTCCTCTTCCTTCAAAACAATTAAGTTGAATGTGGATTTTAATCACATTAGCTGAGCAGTTTTGAAAAAAGTCAGTAACTTCTGTCAAGGCAACTTTTTGATTTCACGGAGAATCACTCTGAAGCAAGCTATTTGCCTGACTACTTTTTGCCTAATTTATTAAATATTTTAGGTTTAGTCTGATTTCTTTCAGAGCCCGTGCTAATGTGAAAGGTTGTCTTGGTATATCAATGTCCTGTAACTGTAGGAAGGAGACTTTTGTTGGAAATCATATAAAGCAAATGTCTTTCCTTGAGTCATATAGGATAGAGACTAGTATTTATCACAAGGTTTTTTTTTTACACTTAGTACTTTTTATAAGATTGCATTTGTGAACAGTTTCAGCTTTCGAAAAAAATGGCATGAACACACTCATAAGACAGCAAAATCAATCTTAGAAATCAATAGATGAGTGACTTGTGGTGTAAAATAGTATGTATATATACACTTTTTTAGCTATACAATTATTAAATGCCATTAGAGTTGGTATAAAATACAATTTTTAGCTGGTGGCTGTCTACTAATTACAAAGTAGCCAGCACAGCATACTTCGGTTTTAATGCCTAGGGAGCACATCCAGCAATATTTAGCCAGGCAGAAGGGGTAGACAGAATAAAAATAAACGAAAGCCAGAATATTAATAAAGACTTTTGATTGTTAAGGACAAGTGGGCAAATCAAGAATCTGGAAATTGAGAAGGTGTACGGAAAATAAAACAGGGAGTTGGGCGACAAGGATACAGTAATAGCACAAGAGGATTCCTGTTAAGTGGCATTCCGATGGAGGAGGCAGGCTGCGCCCAGAACCACGGGGAGGGGTTTGAAATACATGGGAAGGTAGGGGAGAGCGTGCACAGCCTAAAAAAGTTTTAATGATGGCTCCGTCCGCAATTTTTGAAGGCTGGTATTGGGAGCTACAAAAACCAAGCGGCAGGATTTATCAAGGTGTCCGCCGCAGGGCCACCCCCGACTCGGGCGAAGCGTCCGGAATTCCTGAGTTGTTTGAAACGTGGAGGCGGCCTCCGCCCCGCCCCCACCCCGGCCTCCGTGCGCATTTTCCACCGAAAGGGGCCCGCGAGCCCTTCGAAGAACAGTTTAAATGCGCGGACGTCGGCGGCTGGCGCGCTCCCCGAGCAGAAAGGCGAGCGCCGCGCCCACACGGCGGGGAGTGCCTCGGGCCCGGGCGCGCCGGGCAGGTTCCCCCGGTACCCCGAAGGCCGCGGCGCCCCGGCCCCCACCCCGCTCGGCAGCCGCGCGCGCGCCCCTCCCCCCGGCGCAGGCGGGGCTGCGGGCGCCCGACGCGGAAGCGCGGAGCTGCGGGGGCGGCGGCGCGGGAGGCCGCGCGCGCTCCCCGGGCCGCAGTCGGCGCGGCGGGCGCGGCGGGTGCGGGGCGGGGCGAACGGGCCTGGGAGGCGGTGGCGCTCGCGCCCGGGCCCGGCCACCGCCTCGCCCCCCTTCCCTTCCCCTTCCCTCCTTCGGCCTGTCCGTCCCCCTTCTCTCCCCTCCCCCGGGCGAATCACGCGCCCTCCTCTGACACTCGTAGCAGGCCCGAGCTCCGAATTTATCCTTCACGTGACCTAAGGGGGTTGGGTGGTTGGTCGGGACGGAGGGGGAGAGGGAAAGGAGGGAACGGAATCTGCCGTTACCCGAGCAACAGGCCCCGCCCGCCGGCTTGGGGCCGGGGGGCGGGAGGAGGACGTCAGCACGTCAGCCGGGGTTTTGCGTTTTGATTGACAGTTGCTATAGCGACCGGGTCGGTCCGTCGCCATTTTGTTGGTTGGTTTTTTTTTAAACCCTTTCGCTTCCCGCCCGAATAATAATAAAAAGCCCCATTGGAGTGAGGCGGGGGTGGCGGCGGCAACCGCGGCGGGGGTATCCGGGGAGACTGCTGCCGTCGCTGCTGCTGATCGCGGCCCAGGTCGGGCTCAGGGAGCGGACACCCCGAGCGGGGGGTGCGGGCGCCGCCGCCGCCGCCGCCGCCGCTTCTGCTGCTGCTGTTCCTGCTGCTGCTGTTGGTGCCGCTGCCGCCGCCGGCGAGCGGGCGGGACCGGTGTGAGTGTGCGAGTGTGTGTGCGAGTGAGCGTGTGCGAGGGCGAGTGTGCGTGCGTGTGTGTGTGTGTGCGAGTGTCTGTCTGTCTGTGCGGGGACTCGGGGGCGGGCGGTTCGGGCTCTCCTGGCGGAGGAGCCGCCGCCGCCGCCGCTCGGGCCCCGGCGCTTCTCGCTGCGCAGGTTCGGAGCGCGCGCCATTTTGTGAGATTTACAAAATCCTCCTCGGGAAGAAGCTGCCGGGAGCGGCCGCCACTCGGCGCCCGGCCTCGCCGCCGCCGCCCTCAGAGCCGGGCCGGGCCGCGCTGCCCCGCTGCCGGGACTCGGGGTCCGGGGACTGCGGTATTTGCCGGGGAGGGGGCTGTCGCCTCCCCGGCCCCGGGCGCCGCTGGAACCGCGAGCCGGAGAGAGACTGAGCAGGGTGCTGCGCGGCCAGGAGCCGGGAGTGCCGGGGGCGGAGAGAGGCGGCCGGGGCGGCGCTGGCTGCGGAGGCCGCGGCGGGAGCGCAGCGCGGGAGCCGGAGGCTGAGACTCACCGGAGGAAGCGGCGCGAGCGCCCCGCCATCGTCCCGGTGAGTGTCCGGCCCGGCCGCGGCCCCGCCCGGCCCGGCGCTCGGTTCCTCCGGCGGCCTGCAGCCGGGCCCGCGCCGAGGCCGGCCGGGCGGAGGGAGGGACCTGCCATTTTAGGAGGAGGCGCCGCCGGCCCGGGGCCGGCCGCCGGGGGAGGGAGCCCGAAGGCCCGGTCCCGGAGGAGAGGCGGGTGCGAGCGGAGGGAAAGTTGCGGAGGGTGGGAGCGGGGGCCGCGGCCTCCCGGGAGCCGGGGCCTGGGGGGCCGAAGAAAGCGCCAGACCTTCACTGGTCGCCCGAGCGAAGGGGTGGAGGTTGTCTTCTTCCTCCTCCTCCTCTTCCTCCTCATCCTCTTCCCCCAGCTCCTCCCTCGTCCCTCCTCTCGGTCCCCACCAGTGTGGGAACCGCCGGGGTTCTTCGCAAGGACAATGCACGGGTTAAGAAAATGGGGCTGGCTGCCGGGTAGGCGAGGACAGCAGGGCTAGGCTGGGCGCCGGCGAAGGTCGGAAGCCCGCTCCCGCGGCGGCCCTTTGGGGTCGGCGCTGGAGCGAGGGGGACTCGGTGTGCTGTGAAGTTGGGCGGGGAGTGCAAGGAATCCCGGCCACTCGAGATGAAGAGATGACCTCCTTAGCAGCCGCAGGAGTTGGTGGTTGAGGAGACGTGAATTAGAATTGATACCTGTGCATTGCAACAAAACTTCACGAGTCTATTTATAGGCACAAACCCACTCTTGCTTCGGAGCCACCAAAGCTGCTGAATATCTCTGCACTTAGCGAAAGAAAGGCTCCTCCCTAGTCTGAAATAGTTAAAAATGGTGAAATTAGTGAGTCAGGGACTCGGACTACTTGTCTGTGCCTTTCGCCCAACCCTAGGTTATATGAATCCTGTAATCTAGGTGCAGCACTTGAATGCCAGCACCATTTGGTTCTTGAATTCCGACCACATTGTCAGAAAATATGTCTTATGACATTGTGTTCAAACTCACTTAAAGATTAGGACGAATAGTGTCAGGCACTATTCTCAGGGCTTTATTATGTGTATTAACCTGCTTATCCTACCAGTAGGAGCTCTTCTTACCCATTTTACAGAAGAGAAAACTGAGAGGGGCATTGACTGGTCTAAGGTCTTACATCTCAGAGCCAGGAGTCTGTAGCCAGCCTGGGCTCTTAAACACTAGGTTATAACTCATTATTATAAATACTGGCAAATTTTGGAGCGATTCGTGTGTAATGACTCAGGGTTCTAACTGAGAGATTGTGTCCACGTGTAGTTGTTAGTGTGGAATTACCTTTTTGGTTGCAGAAGTGGGAAGGAAAGATTGAGAAACTTTTCAGTCCTTTTTTTCCATAAAGAAAACCATGTCGCCAGTTTTTTAATATAAGGAATTAAAAAATGTTCCGTGGTGTATTTTGTTCTTCACACTTAATTTCGATTATAGGCATCCTTTAAGTATTGATGAGTCATAAGAAAAGTTTTGTGTGTATTTTTAGTCATTTTTTCTTTGAATACTTATGACCCTTTATACTTTACATATTCAAAGTGCTTAGGAATGAATATCTTTAGTACTTGGATTTTGGGGTGTTTTAATATAAATTTAATGGAATTACCTTTAGCTTTTGTTTTCTTAAATTTCTCATACCTTGATCAGTTACTTTAAGAGAATATTATTTTCAGGTAGACTTTTTACAAATATGGGACTAGAACTAAAATTTCGTGTGCTAAGGTTTTAAACTGAAGATTATTTCAAAGAAACAGTGGTTAAGAAAAAAAAGCTTACTTAGTTAAGATTTTTAATGTAACTTAAAGTACCCCAGTACTTTCGGAGAATTTGCCTTGGCATAGCAGTGGTGTTTATGGTAGCTGTCCAAATTTATTTAGACTTCAAACCTTGCCAGAAAGTTAAGTACTCCTGTCAGTGTCTACACCGGGTTTTGTAAAACTGGGTATAAAAAGTTCATTTTTGTCTCAAGAGAGGCATAAGCTCAGAAATTAATTATTATAGGAGAAGGGGTCACTCCTTGTGTTTGTAAAGGTCAAGGCACACTGCTTAGCTGGTGGGTGTTGAAAGATTTTAGATTTGAAGAAATAGACTTGAATGAATGAATGGTAATTGTTGGTGGGGGTGGGGATGGTATTAAATCATCTAGTGAGATATTTGTTATTGTTAGGAATTTGAAATTTAGGTGTAAGATCGTTTCTTAAACATTTTAAAGACATTTTGGTGGGACTTACTGGAAACAAACATACAAAATTACTATGTGCTAGGAATTTAAAAATAAGTTAGTCCAATTTTTTAGAAGCACTATTATTTAAGATAAATGAAAATATTCCATTTTAGTGCAATGTCTTGTTAGGGAATGTGGATAGTATAAAAGATCATTGGTTAAAAATTTTTTTCCCCTCTAGAATATTGTATTTTTAGTTGTATTTATGGAGTTACTGGTTTATGACTTAAAGCTGTAGGGGTGAAGTGGTAAGTGCAACAAGGTATTTAAATAATTTACACAGGTTTTTGTAATGCTGTGAATATTTGCAAAAGCAAAATTCAAGATATCTTGTTATAAACATGATATATACAATGATCTCTGGCATGCATTTTGTTTTGTAACTATACAAAATGTTAATTTGTATTGAATCTTGGTTATTACTTGAAAACAATTTTACTTTAAAAAGAAATAGTTTAGAAAGTTACACTGCCCAGAGGTGTTTTCACATGCATGTTTATGGTTAGCAAATACCTAGTTATGGGAAGAAAATTCGGATAGAAGTAACTGTATTATGGGTGAGAATGGAATTGTCTTATATAGGATATTAAAAACAAGACTAATGCAAGAAGCAGCTTAATTTGTGACTTTCTTGGTATTTGTGATTAGGTGTGTGTCAGTTTGTCTTTGCTTTGGCATTAACTTCTTACTGTAAAGAACTTTCACGTTTCTTACATACACAGATACACAAAGCAATTTCTCCTCCACCCCCCACCCCCAAGAAAACATTTTAGTATCCAAACCCAGCAAAACCCCAAAATTTCCTGAAAGAGTCTTTATGAAGAACTTGGTTTTTCATTCCCAAAACTTTAGTAGTCGTTTTATTGTATTCTTAAACAGTAGTTTAAACTGTGCTAATAATCTTTATTCTCTTTTGAAGAGTGTATTGGTGATTTTACCTCTGATATTACTTGTTTATTTTTGATTTAGAAGTAAAGATACTACTTGAAACTATCAGACATGGTTACCTGAAACTTGATACTAGCAGTTTGCTCTGTCAAAATGAATTGTGTGACTAGTATAATAGCACCTTACATATACCTAGTGGTTTATGCCTTTTAAAAGACTTCTTACTATATGTTATCTTGACTTTTGGGCAGTTTTTCTATGGTTAGAGAAGTTGTGGTACTTCATAACCCAAAGTTTGCTCAATTTCGAATTAAAAATTTTGGGGAGTTAAAATTGGTATTTAATTACTTGGAAAAATTGTCAAATTATTTTAAATTACCTAAAATTTTTCCTCATTTGCTGCCAGGTGAAAAAACTCTTTTGAAATCTTGCATTATGTCAATGCTGTAATGTTATGCTAGGGTTGCAGAGTTTTACCATTGGGTGCTTGAAAGTGAAACGTAGACTTCACATGATTAAAATAATAATTTAAGGTTCGTATTGGGTAATTGAAAACAAATCTTGCTTGTTAGTGGCTATAAACAGCCTTAGTTTCTTTTATTTATTTATTTATTTTGGTATCTGAAAACAAAATGACTTAGGAATATTGCATTGTATAAACCAGCTAAAGTTTTTTAAAAGTTCCGCTTTTGCTTTGAAATCCTACTTCCATAGTTTTATAATGAGTTAAAATTCTTTATTGGAGATAATACGTTACATTGAACATATAAAATGACGTGGTTCCTCGTAGGCGTACATTTGCTAATATAGAATCATTTTGGTTTGCTGGCATTTGGTTCTCTTAGAGCTATTTATCTTCTCTTCTAGAAGGTGATTTTTTAAAAGTTTGTATTACTGTTAAAATTAAGTTTTGACAAACATATACTTTTTGTTTGACAGGTGCTGATATACAGGTAGTAATGGTTTAAAATATGTCTTTATTCTTGTTGATGAATTGTTACGAATTTTATCTCATAGTTGAAATGTTTAAATTGATCTTTTGGGGGGGGCTAGTGAACTGGTATAATATGGAATGAAACTGCTTTTCATCATCAACTCTATTTTAGATAGCACCCCTGGTCATTAAATAACCCCATAATTTTTCTAAGTACATAGAATTTCCAGTGATAAGAGTTGATTTTATTTTTAAAATTTTATGGACATTTATGGTTAAGGTTTGAATCTTGGCATGTGTTTGGGTCAAAAAAATGCTCAAACTGTGACATCTATCCAAAATCTGCTTGTTACCTAGTTATACGTGGCAGTTGAGGCAGCATAATGCTCTGCAAAGATTACCTGCCTGTGAGACGGTGAGCAGAGGCTCCAGAGTCAGGTAGATCTGGAGTCTCACAGGTTCTGCTGACAATGTGACTTTAGGCACAGTGGTTTCACTATATCAGTTTCCTCATTTATAAAATGGGATTGATCATACTTAGCATAGGATCCTTGAGAAGATTGAGGTAATGCATGTCAGTTTCTTCATGGCCTTCTTTCTCCCCTTTTCCCTCCCTTCCTCTTCTTCATTCATGCTCAGCCTGTGGTCTCAGCATAAATATTACTTCTTCAGAAACGTCTTCCCCAAACGCCAGTCCAGGTGAGATTCCTTGGCCACACATTCTTCTTGGCCAAGTAAGACCCTCTGCTTTTCTTTCACAACCCTTATTACAAATAGCTATATAATTATTCAGATATATTCATGTATGTAATTATTCATTTAATGTCTTTCTCTTTCACTGCATTAGATTGTAAGGTTCATTTGGACAGGAATAAGTCTTTTTTAGGAAAAAAAAATTTTTTTAGAAATAGAAATCTTGCTATGTTCCCAGGCTGGATCATAGTGCATTGCAGCCTCA